AATTTCTTTGTAAATATAGCCTAAACCTATCTATCACAGCAGAGACAAGTGGGTTGCAACACTATGCTACATTACAATTCAGATCTGTGGAGAGTCGCCCCTGTTCACAGATAATTATTGTATTTCTGAGCAATAGAAACACCTGTAATGAATAAATGCTATATGTTTAATGTCATATCATGGAACATTCCAGGCAACGCAATAATATCTCCCCGGGGACAAGCAGGTGACGGACCCTCGACCAGAAAAGTTGCAGAGTGCACCTTTAAAAGCACTAAAGTAGCAATGGCCAGCACTGAAAACTGTACACGAAACGAAACACTGTGGCCGATCTACCTGCCGCTGTTCTATTGTCTCACCTTTAATAGAAACCCTTGTTTTGCTTTGAGTGGTTGTGATTGTTTAGCTTGTTTCCCATTGATTCGTCAAGAGCACGAGCGGTCCTCCTTTCCCCCACAATCCCTCAGTCTGACCGGTGACTGAAGAGCTGTCCACGCTACACTGGTCTTTTCTGAAATAACACTGGCCGGATCCTCTGGATGTTTACGGGAAAGTCAACTGCCTCTCAGACCATCGCCCAGCCAAAACATTGATCTATTGTCCGTCTGTCAATGGATTTGCTGTTCTTTCCATCATTTGTGGTTTTCACGCTGGATGAGAACAAGTGAAAGGCGTAAAACCCACACCGCAATGCTCCAGATTTGAAATGCAAAACAGGGTCTTGTGGGGTTCTGTGTTACATTATTGTTACCTTATTAAAAAAGGCCATAGCAATAAAGTAGCACTAGTAAAATGTGCTTCTGTGTCACAAAAACATGACAATTTTCTTTTTGATACTCACTCATTTCTGATGGATTAGTCATGGAGATCTGATATGTAGCAAATACGTCTCTCTAAATTATTTTACAATGGCATAAAACACAATCAATATTAAGACCTAATTTAAAAATGTACTTATTTATTACTGCACATCAAACCACACTCTGGATACATCTTAAAGTTTTATGTTAGGAAGGGCAACTGGCATTAAAGCGAGTTAAACTGATTCACATTATGAGGTTTATGAATCGCTTTGATGATCCAGGAAAATAAAAAGAGAAAAGATTTTAAACAGTGTGATTGAGAACTGTTAAAATATCAATTCAGTCAGTTTCATTCTCTAATATTGAATTTTCCGAGTTAAATTCGCATATTGATCAAATGATGCACATTGTACATTCAATAAAAGTACGTATAAAAATCTGTTTCTTCATCTCCCTGTCTCTTTCTTCCTTTCTCTCTCCTTCTCTCTCTCTCTGTCTCTTTATCTCTCACTCCCATTCTCTCTCAATCTATCTCCCTCTCTCTGTTTCTCCATCTCTCGCTCTCCCTTTCTCTCTCCTTCACCTCTCTGTTTCTTCATCTCTCTCTTTCCCTCTGTCTCTTCATCTCTCTCTGTTTTTCTCTGCCATTTTATCTCCCTCTCTCTTGTGTGTCTTTATCTCTCCTCTCTCTCTCTCTCTCTCATTCTATATCTCCCTTTCTCTCTGTGTTTCTTTATCTCTTTCTCTCTCATTTTATCTCCCTCTCTCTCTCTGTTTCTTCATCTCTCTCTCTCTTTCTCTCTCATTCTATACCCCTCTTTCTGTGTGTTTCTTCATCTCTCCCTCTGTCTCTCCCATTCTATCTCCCTCTCTCTCTCTGTGTTTCTTCATCCCTCTCTCTCTCTCTCTCTCTGTGTTTCTTCATCTCTCTCCCTCTATCTGTTTCTTCATCTCTCTCTCCCTTTTTCTCTCCATCTTTCTCTGTTTCTTCATCTCTCTCTCTTTCTCCCTCGCTCTCTCTCTCTCTCATTTTATCTCCCTCTCTCTGTGTTTCTTCATCCTTTTCTTTCCCTCTCTCTTGGTGTTTCTTTATCTCTCTCTCTCCCCTTTTCTTTCCATCTTTCTCTGTTTCTTCATCTCTCTCATTCTCTCTCCCCCTCTCTCTCTGTTTCTTCATCTCTCTTTCTCTCTCATTCTGTCTCCCTCTCTCTCTGTTTCTTCATCTATTTCCCTCTCTGTTTTCTCCATCTCTTCATCTCCTCATCTCTCTCTCTCATTTTATCCCCATCTTTCTGTGTGTTTCTTCATATCTCTCTCTTTTTCTCTCTCATTCTATCTCCCTCTGTCTCTGTGTTTCTTCATCTCTCTCCCTCTCTCTGTTACTTTCTTTCTCTCTCTCTCCCTTTTTCTCTCAATCTTTCTGTTTCTTCATCTCTCTCTCGCTATCTCTTTCTTCATCTGTATCTCTCTTTCTCTCCGTCCTCAGAAATATCAGCGCCCTGGAGCGTCCGTTATCATGTTGGTCATGCGTCGTGCTCTCCGAGTGGCTCATGTGGCTGTTACCTGCCAAGTGCATGTTCTCACTGTGGAGTCAATCTGAGAGACACGTTCATGTGCAGGACAGTCCCAGGACCTCACATCCACTGGGCCCTGCACTTTGCTGAGTCAGCGGCTCTGAGACGTGTGTGGGGAGATATTGGAGATAGGAGTGCAAAGTTGGAGCTGCACTTCTAAGCCATCACCACATTTAGCCAAGCACGTCACTTCTTGTTGAAACAGTTGGGTTCATGTTCTAATGTTCAACAGAGCTGAGAGATTATATGTACTGGTGATGGAGATGAGGTAAGTTTTCTATAATAAAAGTCGCCTTTCAACTGTAAATATTCCGTTATTTTGATGTGGTTAATGTTTAAAGGTGCACTAACTTCTGATGGAGTGTCCCCCATATGTTTGTCCCCGTGGAGATTTTCCACAGTATGGCATTAAACTTATATCTCCCTAGGACCCAAAGAAAAAAAGTGTATTGCAATATATAGTTTTTGTGATTTTTCAGTCTATTTGGAGGTAAATGAACACCTTAGCATTTAGATTTTTTAAATTTTATTTTTATCTATAATTTTGTCCTCAGTAATGGACGCAGGGGACGTTTTGATGTTAAATCCAACGTGACAAAACAACTTTTTGATGACCTACATCTCTGACAAGCTTCTATAGTAACCTCAACACATTTTTAGACCCCGTTTAATTTCTTCTTATTTATTTTATTTTTTTTATCATAGTGCAGCCACAAATGAACTTCTATTGAGTTTTTCTTTTTTTTTTTTTAATCCTGGACATGATAGTGCCCGATAATCCCCCAGCCCTATTTAGGCAGAGGAACCTAGTCCCCCCATTAAGAGTCTATCTCAAAACACTTATAAGATAAGATGAAGTGGTTAAGTCAGTGTCCACTATAAAGGACACACATGAATGGACTGGGTCTCTGGAGGATACAAGCAGGTCGAGTCACAACCCCAAGTTACAAATCTGATCTGTGGAGAGGATACTCTACTCATAGTAAGATGCAGATGATTTTCCCAAGATATTTTTAGAAAATAAAAATACCTGTTTTTGAAGAGCAGAATAGAAAGAGGGTAGAGGTTTAATGCCATGCTGTGGAACATTCCAAGCAAACCAATTACATCTTCAAGGGAGAAGTTACAAAGCACATCTTTATTTGTTCATGTAACAGAATCAGTGGTTGGTTGGATGTGGATTATGTTGGATTATGGTTGAGGTTATCCACATGAAACAAAAACTGATATCAGGTTTTCTGACGCAGCAAAAATGAACTAACATGAGTCACCTGAAAGGATTTAAAGTCCTACATTACACATGTGAGCTTTAAGCCATGTTACAATGTTATATGTTATTGTTAATGATATATAATGTTACCTCCTTAAAAACAGAGCTGCAGTTGTGTTTTGTTTCATTCACACATGCTTGAGTAACTCTTTATGGCCATACTGGTTTGTCAAAGCCTGAACCCATCAGATCTCAGAAGCTAAGCAAGGCCTGGCCTGGTTAGTACTTGGATGGGAGACCACTGGGAAAATCAGGTGCCACAGTGGGGCCAGTGGCAAAAAACTGTTGTTGTGTCCATAGGCAAGGCACTTCACCCACATTGCCTAATATGAAATTTGTGTGTGTGTGAGTGATGGTGGTCAGAGGGACCAATGACCTATGGCGCTGATTGGCATTGGCATGCTTTTGTTTCTGGTTTTACGTTTTCAATACAGCATTTATTTTTACAATATTCCTGCTCTCTGTCCATATACGGATGTTGGCGCTGTGAAATCAATTATTCTAAACATTAAATCAACGTAAATGCATACTGGACCCAGCCTCTTTTGTTTTACATCACATTCAGCGCGTCATAGCTTTTACTGAACCCAATTCTACCTCTCCGCGGCTGCCAGGAGTGGTTTAGCTGCTATAAGTAGTTTACCACCACCGGGTATGGAGTGACTGAATAATGCTCTGTAAAGCATTTTTGTGGCATATGTCTGCAAAAAGCGCTATATAGATAAAACTTACTTACTTACTTACTTTATTATCTACACTATACTCTATTTATCTACATCTCCAAGTCTCAAAATGCTCTGTTCCACCTTTTGATGTCATGTAGAGGTTTCTAGTTAACATCTTCAGTTCAGTAAAGGGCTAGAATTTAAAGCACAAGAGAGCACTTCCTGTATCACCACATTTATTTGAGAAGAACATCTAAATATAAAGGGTTTGTGTTAATGTGTGAATGAAACAAAACACAACTCCAGGTATGTTTTTGATGAGGAAACAACATTATAAAAGATCAGAAAATAGCATAATTTAGGCCCTTTAAAGCCCTGACATTAATATAGCAAGCAAGTTTTTGGACCTAAATTTCTGGTTTAAAAATCTGTTTTCACATTTGTAGTTTTTGTTCCTTAAAACAACTGCGAGTTCAAATTCTAGACACTACGTGAACACAACCCGAAATGTAAAAAACTGTCTGCTATGGTGTAGCTCAAAACCAACCAAGCCACAAATTACACATGTATAACCTATTTTGGCCCGCAAAGATATACAGTGTTCTTTTACTCGGTTGTGAATTGCCGATGTCCTACTGAATTAGGGTTTTTGAAACAGGAGATGATGGTGATTGAGGGCCACACGTACCGGGTTCTCCGTCTCTGCCTCGTCTTCCTCGTTTTCCAGGAGGTCCTGCAACAGAGAGGTGCACTTATGTCAGCCGTTTGTTTGTTTAAACTGAGGGAATACCTATGGTTTGTTACAGGAGGGGAAACATTACACACTGTGATTGACAAAGCAGAACTAACAACACAAATGGTTTTGGTTTCACAAGGCATGTTTTTACTAACACCTGTACTACAGATACTACTGCGACTACTACTACTACTACTACTACTACTACTATTACTGCTGTTACTGCTACTACTGCAACTACTACTGCTATTACTACTACTACTACTGCTGCTGCTGCTGCTACTACTACTACTACTGCTACTACTGCAACTACTACTACTACTTCTACTAGTACTACTACTACTACTGCTACTACTGCTACTACTACTACTGCTGCTACTACTACTACTACTACTACTACTTCTACTAACTACTACTGCTGCTGCTACTACTACTGCTGCTACTACTACTACTGCTACTGCTACTGCTACTGCTACTACTACTACTACTAGTGCTACTATTGCTACTACTGCAACTACTACTGCTATTACTACTCTTACTACTGCTACCACTACTACTGCTACTACTGCTGCTGCTGCTGCTGCTGCTACTACTACTTACTGCTATTACTTCTTCTACTACTTCTACTATTTCTACGACTGCTATTACTACTTCTATTACTACTACTTCTGCTGCTGCTGCTGCTCCCAATACAACTACTACAACTGTAACTACTACAAAATCTTCAACTACTTCATAAACTACTACAGGGGCTACTGCCAGTGTTAATGGTAGAATAGTTTGATGATGGAGTTGAATGTTAAACTAATTAAAACATTGTAAATATGGGATTTAATTACAAATCATTTTCTAGTCGTTTTGGGTCTAAACTCTGACAAAAGTAAAAAGTACATGAGAGGGAGAAGGCACATTTCTTTCTGTAGTCTATTTGTATGTGCTTCTCTACTTGATGCTAAACTCAGTTTAAGTTAGAACAAATAAGTGAAATGAATGAATGAAATGAATGCAAACAAACAGTAGCCGAGATAAAAATATGAAACAATGTCATATTAACATATTATCCTTTCCAGGCGGGTTTGTGCTTTTGTTTATTTAGACGCTGGGTTCTGTGGCTGTTCTGAACGATCCTCTAAAGCCTGAGCCGGAGGAGTAAACAATTACACGCTTTGCCAGTTTTTACACACCGAAGGCTTGACTGCTCCGTATTGTACACAGGTACTTCTCTGTGACAGGAAAATGGATTCACAAATTTATCTCCTGAAATGAATTTCTTTCTTGTGCTCCTCGTAGCAACACAGCTGTCGCCGCAGAGACAGGCGAAAGAGGAAATGCTCTTCAGTTTGTGTGCCACCAAACAAAACAAAGTGAAAAGATGAAACGTTTGCTCATTTTATGGCAGAAAACTCGAGTATATTTGCCAAACACATTTTTCAAGAATTGTTTTGATGAATTTGACAGTTTGCAAACTTACAAATTGGACTTTAGCTAATACTACTAGGGACAATGTGGAGCTAATGTACCAGGCTTTACTCATAAAACTCTGTGTCCAAAAGTGGATAAACAAAATTATGGGAGTTTCCATAAAAGCCAAGTTTATATACAAATTAATATGTGTGGTAAGATCGGTCATGGAAAAGGCAAGACACAAAGGAAGACGTCTTATTCTAAGCAGAACAATCACACAGAACATAATCAGTGGTTGGTTAGAGTAAAAGTATGTAAGCTTTCTATTGGGGGGTCTGAGAATTACATTACCACAGAGACCAGAAAGAAACCTAATAAACTACAACAGTTACATAGTGCATCTTTAAAGGCTCATGGTTGAGTTTTGTTTCATTCACACAAACCCTGCTTATTTAGGAGTTCTTTTTTCAAACAGAAAACACTCTGTTCCACCCTGTGATGTCATGGTGATACAGGAAGTGCTCCACAGTGTTTTTAAACTCCACAAACCTTCACTAGAATCATTTGGGTCATTTCAGCCCTGGAATTGCCAATCTTTACTGAACTAAAGGTAAAAAGTATCTGTTAACTTGAAAACTACTGCTTCATGACATTACAAAGCGCACTGTTATTGAATGGTCTATTTTTGAACTTTTTTTTACATATAAACCACACCGGACTATAAGGCGCATTAAATGAAACACAACAGTTGGATGAGTCAGTTGGACTTTGTTTGTGGCGTTCACGGTGACTCTGGGCGTGTAGGGAGGGTGCTGTCTGGGACCGCTGGATTGTTGGCGTGTTCGCAGTGACTCAGTTGTTCAGTTGTGTCTAGAAGTGGCACATTGCACTCGCTTTTTCGGTTCATTCCTCCGTTCCGTTCATCGTCCACGTGGAGTGATGAGTGTGTCTGTGGGTGTTTTTCGCTGTGCAGTCGCTGTCTCCGTTTGCGTGCGCTGTGGGTGGTGTGGCTTTGTAGTTTACTGAAGTCGTGCTGGGACACCCGAGTGGATTCGTGTATAGGGTGCTCTGGATTGCGGGGCACGCTGGATTGCTGGGTGCGCAGTCATTTTTTGATGGGGTTGGAGGCTTATGAGTGCGCCTAATAGCCTGGAAAATACGGTAGATGTACTGTAGATGGAGATGAGGTAAGTTTTCTATGATAAAAGTTGCCTTTCAATTGTAAATATTCAGTGGTTTTGATGTGGTTAATGTTTAAAGGTGCACTAACTTCGTCTTAACACGTTTGTCTCCATGGAGGTGTTATTTCTCCACCTGGAATGCTCCACAGTATGGCATTAAACTTATATACAAGCAGGGCCACAAGACCAAGTTACAAATCTTATCTGTGGAGAGGATACTCTACTCACAGTAAGATGCAGATGATTTTCCCAAAATATTTTTAGAAAATAAAAATACCTGTTTTTGAAGAGCAGAAAAGAAAGAGGGTAGAGGTTTAATGCCATGCTGCGGAACATTCCAACCAAACCAACCAAAAACATTTTCAAGGGAGAAGTTACAAAGCACATCTTTAATTATTCATGTCAGTTAGAATCAGTGGTTGGTTGGATGTCATTATGGTTGAGTTTATCCACATGAAACAAAAACAGATAAAAGGATTTTTGGAATTACCAATCTTTACTGAACAAAAGGTAAAAGGAGCTGTTAACTTGAAAACTACCACTTCATGACATCACGAGGTGGAACAGAGCATTTTGAGCTTTGGAGATGAAGACAGGCTAATAATGCAGAATTACTCAAACTTGTGTGAATGAAAAAAACACAACTCCAGGTATGTTTTTGATGATTTAACATTATAAAATAGCTTAAAGTTCACAAGAGTCAGTTTTGCGTAATATAAGACCTTTGAATACAATGAAAATCAACTTTAATACAACAGTAGGTCTATGTTTGAACTCTCGTACTGATGTGAAAGTCTGGCAGTTGAAGCGACCTTAGATGACATTATACAGTTTGTCTAAAACACAAATCAATCATTGGGTGTATCAGTGGGTATCCACGTGCTAAGTTTTTGGTGTAAGAATGTGAGAAGTAAAATAAAAATCTATGGTTTTAATGCAGTGCGTGGCTGATTTACGACTCCTTCGATGTGTTGCCGTGGTGAAAAAAAACAGATTATGTTGCACAACTCACTGTACGCTCTGCTCTATCCCACTGTTTGGCCCCTGACTCTGGATGGGGCCCAGGATTGTGTCAGACGCTGCCAGTGAAGGGCCAGTGAAAAGAATGTAACCGCAGGTGGAAAGGGAGGTGCACTTTACTACAGCTCCCATCAGCCCCAGCGTTTCAGAGCACAAGTTTGTTTTTAGGGGCTTTTAAAAGAAAAAAAACCTGCAGATTGAAAGAGGTTAATTTTGATATGTGAAATGTTGGTCACTGAGACTACAATATGTAATCTCAGTCTAGTATATTTGGATAGAGAAGGAAATTGCTGAAAATTACCCTTTCAGGAAGATAGACAGGATGAGGTGTGGTCCTGCTCTCAATTTTAAGAACAATAACTCATCTTCATTAAGTGAAAGTATCATAAAAGTATCATATGAAAACGTTTCTGACTTAATAACTATTGCAATTACAAATGTCTCCACCAATATCTGATAAGTTATACAGGACAAAATGATCTGAGTAAATACTACTTTGAGGTTCCCCAATTTTGAACCATGAATGAAAAACCTGTTTCAGGATGAACAACTTGCTCCGCCTACTTCCTGCTGTCTTTCAGTTGCATTGAACCATCACAGAGAAACAACTGTCTCCACACACAATTCATGGATGTGTTTTCCTGAGATAGGAATCATGAGAAACCATGATAAATCAAAATGTGTATTAGTCTACTTAATTGAGATTATGGAGGATTTCAGAAAGTAGAAGGCATGGGGTGAGTTACTGGAGTTTTGATAATACATTTATTTTATTTTGCCTTCTTACACAAATGTGCAGTTTTTAATAAATAACTGAAGTTTGTGTGCAGTTTTTGTGAGATATTTGGGCAGATAATAGAGTACATGGGTGAATACTGAATAGTTTGAGGTAAAACAGAAATAGTATTGGAATAGTGAGCATGCTTTAAACATGTTTAGCCAACTTACTTAAAATATTTTGTTACATTCCAGCACAGCATAGGGAATAACTGGTCAAGACAACATACCATAGACTATTATCTAATATCACCATGATTTACAATTTATACAGCTAGATTTTATTTATGATAGGAGTAACAGGATCTCTTCTATACAATGCCAAAGCTAAGGCCAAAAGAAACATATTGTAATTTTGAAAGAATAACTTTACAGTGCAAGCGTGAGCCAAAGCTGCACCAGAACGCATTTACACTGAGCTTCTGAAGAACAAATTGGGGCTGAGGTGTTGAGAGATCCTCGGCTTTGTGTCAGTGGATAATATTAGAGTTCTTCCACAACATTAGGATTGGACGCCATTTTGACAGTTGTCCCAACTTTGGTTATGGAACGGTTTAGAAAAATGTTCCCTGTGTGCAGGGTCACCAGCTAATAAACCTTTTCAACTTCCTCAAT